TTGCACTAAGCAAACTCAAGTCAGAACAAAATGCTTTCTTTCTTATTATTTAACATCATCATTTACATGCATTATATAGCCACCATGGTTACAAGAACTCTAACTGACTAACAACCTAATTGTTGCAACTCCAATAGCAGATATCAGCTACACCTGCAGCTAGCAATGATCCATGCATGCGTACCAGCAACCATCCATGCACGAGCGTACTAGCATGCAACTTCAGCATACTTCAACATTCCTCATGCTTTCTCTCCACTTCTACTTCTCAGCACAACTTCTCATACAACTTTGCACGAAACTCTTCAAAGGCATTTTGAGACAATGGCTTAGTTAGTCCATTTACAACCTGATGAGCAACTAGTACATAATTGACTTGCATCTGCTTTGTTGTAACCTTCTCGCGCACAAAGTGTATGTCAAGATCAACGTGTTTGGTGTGAGCATGATAGGTAGGGTTTGCAGTCATAGCCACATCACTAGTATTATCGCACCATATGACAGACTCTTCTTTTTTATAGACACCAAGTTCTGTAAGTAAGGCTCTAACCCAAACCACATCTGCAGCAATGTCAGCAACACTCTTGTACTCAGCATCCATTATAGAACGAGATACAAACTTCTGCTTCTTCGAGCTCCAGGCAACTAGATTGTTGCCAAAAAACATACTATGTCTAGATATTGATCTTCTGTCATCAAGGTTACCACCCCAATCTGTATATGCGAAGGCAGCCAACTTCATACCAGTTCCAACAGCAGTGAACACCAGACCAAAGTTCACTGTACCAACCAAGTATCGTAAGATTCGTTTAACTGTAACCATATGTGACTTCCGTGGATCACGCATGAACTGATCAACTTTGTTTACAAAAAATCCAATGTCAGGCCTTGTATGGCACACATACAACAGTCCTCCAACAATGTTGTGATAATAATGTGCATCAGCAATAGGTTCTCCATCATCACAACGCAGCTTGGTGCCTTGTACCATGGGAGTTGGTGTTGCAGTGGCTTTCAACATGTTAGCTTTCTCAAGGAGTTCCATGAAAAACTTCTTTTGAGACAATGCAAGATACTCATTGGTTCGTTTGACTTCAATGCCCAGAAAGTATGAGAGTTTACCTAAATCCTTTAGAGAGAACTTGTCACTCAGTAATCGAACTACTTCATCCACTACAACACTCGAATGGCCTGTGATGATGATATCAGTAACATATACCAGCAAGTATATGTAGTGCACACCCTCCTTCTTGATAAACAAGGACACACCCTCCTTCTTGATAAACAAGGACACATCAGCTCGTGATTCTTTAAAGCAAATACTCAACAAGATGTTGCACTACTTGGTATGCTAACTCCTGGGTGCCTGACTCAAATCGTATAGTGCATTTTTTCAAACGACACACCAGCTTACTTCCATCATGAGAAGTTTGTTTGAAACTTGGTGGCTGTTGCATGAAGACCACCTCTTGAAGACCACCTCTTGAAGATCACCATTCAAAAAGGCATTATTCACATCCACTTGTCTTAGGGTCCAGTTGTTGGTTACTGCTAATGAAATAATGCCATTCAAGGTGTTGAACTTAACTACAGGGTTGAATGTGTCTCTAAAGTCATAACCAGGAATCTATGAGAATCCTTTAGCTACTAACCATGCCTTGTAACGGTGGATTGAGCCATCAGGGTTTTTCTTGAGTCTGAATAACCATTTACAGCCTACCACCTTCCATTCTCTTGTTAACTTAGTGAGTTCCCAGGTCTCATTGTATTGTAGAGCATTGTATTCCTCATAAACTGCTGCCTTCTAATCTGAAGACTTAAGTTCTTCATAAACATTGCATGGAATATCATCACCAACAGAACCCATATATTATTTGGGCTTAAACACCCCACATTTGCTCCGAGTCATCATAGGGTAAGTGTTACCGCGATTGGCCTCTACTTCAGCACCACCATTTATGGCTGAGTTTTCCACATGTTGTTCTGAGCCTATTTCATGTTCTTCACCTCCATAGGTATTGACTCTAGGCACCTCAGGGATAGCCTTAGTTTCCTCCATATCATGACTATCACCTGTAATTTGAAAGCTACCTGATGTACTGTTGTTGTTGGCACCTGAGGACAATCTATTGTTTTCATGTTGTGAAGGCATGAACCTAGTGACATCAGTGACCAGCTCAAGCGGTCGAGATGGCTTCCCACTCGAGGCTGCAGTAGGACTTCTTCCAGAACTATCTGCAAAAGGAAAGATATCCTCATTAAATACCACATGTCTGGAAACATAAACGCGCCCATTACTTGCTAAACACTAAAACCCTTTATGATGCATACTGTATCCTAAGAAAGTACACAACTAGGACCTAAATTCAAGCTTGTAATGCAGGAATGGTCTTAGATGTGGAAAACACCTGCATCCAAACACCCGCATCCTATTGTAATCTGGTACTTTTCCATACAGCTTCTCAAATGGAGATTTATCATGTAACACCTTTGATGGAAATCTATTAATGAGACATGAAGGCTTTAGCAAGCAGAACTAGAGCCATTTTAACATGATGTTTTTGCTTTTGTTCCACCACTTCATTCTGTTCAAAAGTGTAGAGACAAGTGAGGTGATGAACAACTCTATCTTTGCTTAATTCATTTGTCAAAGGTCGAAACTCTCCTCCCCAATTGGTTTGTAGAGATTTATAAATGAAATGCAGTTACAGCCTCAGCTTTTGTCTTTTGCAAGTATAACCATGTAAACCGAGTGGTAGCATCAACAAAGGACACATAAAATCTAAAGCCAATAGATAAAATGTGTGGAGGTCCCCATAGATCAGAATAAACAAGCTCAAATGGTTCGTTATATGCACTGTCTGATCGAGGAATGGGCAACTTGTGGATTTTACCCAAATGACAAGCAACACAATTCTTATTAACATCATGAAAAGTCTTTACATCGATTTGTTTACAAATTTTAACAAGGGTATCATAAGCAGGATGACCAAGTCTTTTGTGCCAAATCTCTGATGTTGTAGAAGATGCCATGGCAGCATGAACTTCAGCCACACCATTTCTGTGTTGAGATCTATTAGTTTTGAAGGTATACAATCCATCACACTCTTCACCTTGCAGCAGCACAGCCTTGGTGACTTCATCTCGAACACAACACGTTTTGGCATAGAACTCAAGAAACACATGGTTACCCCTAGCAAGCTTGGAAACAAAAAGTAGATTTTTAGTTATTGAAGGAACGTGGAGAATGTTACTTAAGGACAAGGTACGTGATAAAATAGGCAGCTCAGCCTTGCCAACCATTTGAACGGGTAGAGAGTAACCATTTCCTACCATTAACTTACCATGATTGCTACAATTTGAGTGATGAGTGATTGAGGTTAAGTTGGAGGTAACATGGTGCATTGCACCAGAGTCAATCACCCATTGATCTTGACCAGCAGACACTGCATGTGACTGACTTTGCCCAACATTCCTGTTATCATCACGATACGTGCCATTGCAATTACAGTAAGTGCACACACTGTCATTATTCCCATTTGTAACATAATAAGCTTTTGAGGATTCAAGGCCAGAAGTATGATCATCAATCGTTATGCCAGATAAATCATCATTGAATCTGTGCCAACACTGACTAACAAGATGTCCATTCTTTCCACATAGCTGGCACTGAACTCTAGGTCATTCTCTTCCTCTTCCACGAGATATCCCACGCGTGTAGGATGAATGATTTGATCGAAACTTTTGTTTTTCTCGATTATTGTGAGAGTCAGACTCAACCTTCCCTTGTGCAAGATTGGCACTGACAGGCAGAGAATTAGGTTAATAATCGAACCCCTCAAGTTATGTTTTAGCATCGACAAGCATTGTACAGATGTTGTCAAGTGACAGCGTATCACGCATAGCAGATATGACTTCTATGAAGGGTTGATATTCCCTTGTAAATCCTTTAGGAATGCTAGCAATATGTTTAGATATTGACATTGGACTTCTTATAAAGGGATGATATTCCCTTGTAAATCCTTTAGGAATGCTCGCAACATGTTTACTGACATTGGACTTCCACAAGAGTTCAATGCATCAGTAACCACTTTTACTTTTGTGAGGTAAGTTCTCATGTTGTCTCCTCCTTTCTTGAGGGATTGAAGCTTGTAATGTAAGCTCATTATAGCAGTGGCAGAACGATTAGCAAAGAATTGTAAGACTTTGTTCCATACCTGAGCAGATGTTTCAGCACCAACAAACTTAGGAAGTAAGTGAGGACTGACCGTTGACAGCAACCAAGAAGCCAACGCACTGTCTTGAGCCAAGAACTCTTCATATTCTTCATTGACAACTGCAACTCCTTATTCACCAACCACCATTTCTGGAGTAGGCAGCATCGTTCCATTCAACATTCGCTCAAGACGGTGGCTCCTTACAGTGAGTAACACTTGTTGTTTCCAAAACAGGAAGTTTGTTTCATCAAGAACCACGTTCACACTTTTGTTGGTGAACACTTTGGTTTTTCTTGAAGATAACTCCATTGATGTGGCTATAGATGACACACTTTGATCCATAGCAACACGAACAGCGAAAGCACATCCTAGGATATAGCAGCGAATGATACCATGTTGAGAGAACTGGAAGCTCTTGCACTAAGAGAACTCAAGTCAGAACAAAATGTTTTCTTTCATATTATTTAACATCATCCTTTACATGCATTATATAGCCACCACGGTTACAAGAACTCTAACTGACTAACAACATAACTGCTGTAACTCCAAGAGCAGATTTCAGCTACACCTACAGCTAGCAATGATCCATGCACGTGTACCAGCAACAACCATGCAGGAGCGTACTAGCATGCAACTTCAGCATACTTCAACAATTCATTGGAGATACACCAGTTCTTCAACATATTCGCATCTATTCATTTTTAGTTGTTCGATTTTCTTTGTCAAATCTTCATTTTCTTGCCTAAAACGATTGCTGGTTTCATTGATTGCTTCTCTCTGCAACCAAACGCACCCGAAAAAGAAATCCGAGAACAATAATATTAGTAACCATGTAAAGGAACAGGATTCACCAGAAATGAATTTAAACTACCTCAGGATCCTCCAAAACAGAAATTGCAAAGACTTGAGTCGATTCCAACTTCCGAGCCAGTTCGGAATTTTCTATACCCAATCTTGTATTTGATTTCCTCAACTCTTCTATCTCACATTCCAAAACCTTAGCCTTTTTAATTTCGATTCGATATCCGGGTTATTTGTTGGAACCTTCATTTCTTGCTCTTGCAATCTATAAACCCTCTTTTGAAAGTTTAGGATATGCTCTTTATTCATCTCAGCCTCATGCTGAAGTTTCTCCTCAAGCACCTTGATTTTAGATCTTGCACTTTCAAGCTCAACTACAGCTTTTGCATGATCGGCGACTTGGCCCTCTAATTGTTATTTCTCCAACTGTAAGGACACAAACTTCAAACGGAAAAGTTTAGCCTCCATATTGTTTATCTTCAATCGGTTTCGGAGCTCCAAAACCGCTGTTTCTTGTTCTTTAAGGCCATAATATTCAAGCAGCTGGACCTCGAGATTCTGCACCTTCTCCCTAAGCACTCTTACAGTATTTCGTAAGTGCTCAATGTCTTGCTCGTAACCATCCTTTTCAACAGTTCTAAACGTTCTCAAAGTGTCAAGATCCGACCATGGTGTTCAAACTTCCTGCTTCGGAGAAGATCCAACAACATCAGAAAAGTCAAATTCCTCAAGAAGATCATCAAATTGTGTAAAGAAAAACACATCTCCATCTTGTCTAATGCTCCGGGAATCATTTGTTTGTTGCTTCAACACCTCTTCCTGCCAAAGAGAAATCGAAAGATCATATTCAGGAATCGAATTGGCGCAAGCATATAATCAAATTTCGAAAACAACGTCGAGCAGCTCATATTCAATGCCCTAACCACTTGGACACTAAGTTCACAACTGCTATGGAATCAAAATGTTTTAGCACTAATCTTTAACAGCTTACATGGTCTGAAGTTGGTGACGTCTTTAAGGCTCGGATACCGCCTCTACTCCGGTCGTTCTCACTGGAATCAATCTCACCGCGACCATCTGCATAATCAAAACAATACATAAGTTCAACATCCGCAATGTTAAAATCAATAATCCATAGTATCAGTCCGTATTTAATCCAGTATATCGAAATAGCATTTGTCGAGTCCGTACCTGAAACACGATTTAGGATTTTAAATCGAGAACAAAGAAACCCAGTAAAAGAAAGAGCAACAGCAGCAAATCCAAACTTCGCCAACAGAGGTTTCGATTCTCCCTGTTCTTAATCGTCATCTTCCATCTACGAAGTCAAAAACTCAAAATTTATATAAACAACTAACAATTAATTCTAGATGAACAAAGATAATATAAGCTCAAATTCTATCCCAGAAATTTAAAAGAAATTAAAATGAAAAATGAAGTAAGGATCAAGAAAAATAATAGAAACCCATTTTTGTAAGAGAAACAGAGAACTTAATATTAAAGGAAGAATCCTCAAGAACATCAATCAACAAGAAGAAACAAGACTTGTTTTGTATTGTTTTAATGCTTCTTCTTTTTTTCTTCTTTTCTTGAGATTGCTGTATATGGATCAACACAGAGTTTATACAACAATTGTTTGCATATGAAATATGATACATTAGAGTAAATTATATCATTCCTCACATGATACTCCATTCCTTATTTTTATTCTTTACATATTTTTAATTTATTTTTTCAACTTTCAAATTATTCTTATTTTGATCCCTTTAAATTATTTTATATAATGTGATATTTTTATTATTATTATTTAATATAAAATAACTAAAAAATAAAAATAAAAATTGAAGATGGTTGGACGTTATTGCCGACCATCGTCAATCCTCATAGATGGCAGTAATTCGATCTCAAATTTCATGGGTCGCTTCGTCTCGACACCTTGAGTCCAAATCCGCCCTTCATTTTATCGGAACTTACTTTGAAGTCCACGAATTGGAGACGAATGTGATGAAGCCGAAATGTTTCAGTCAAGATTCATGAATTTTGAGACATTTTCTGATGAAATAACCACTAAATTCAAACTGAGGGGATCGAGACGAACTGACCCGTGAAATTTGAGATCAAACAGTCACCATCTACAGCGATCGACGTGGCCGGCGGTGGCATCCAACCACCTTTTATTTTTATTTTATATATTTAATTAATGTATACTAAATAATAAAAAAAGTTTATATCATACAAAAATAATAATAAAATAAATTAAAAATTCATTGAATAAATTAAAAAATAAAATACGATAAATAAAATAATATATACAGTATAATTCAATGAGGAATAGTATATTTACCCTATATTATATTGTATGGAATAAATCAATAAATGGGTGTTCAAACAAAAAAATAAGGGTAAACCGTCAGAATGGTCACTTTCATTTCATACGTATTTATTTATAATCATTGAATTTAAAACAATAATATTTTGGTCACTTGTTCTATCTGCGTATACAAGACAAGACTTAAAAAATCCGAAAGCAACTTCCTCTGCACATGTAAGCTTGCTGATTTCATTCATTGATGCACTGATCAAAACGCTTCCAAAATATTGTTTTTTTAATTCAGTGACTGAAAAGAAACAATTATAAAACTAAAGTGATCGTTTTAATAGTTTACCCAATAAATAATAATATTTGGGTGATTTCTTCTTTTGTCTTTATTAAATGTTCGAAAATTAGGTTGACAAATACAAAAGACTGAGAGTTTTGGTCGGTTATAGTCATGATTAGTTGTGCGTAATGAGTTGTTCGTAGGAAGTTTAAACTACACTCGATCAAAATTTGATAAAAAATATATTTGGATTGATTCGATTCGAGATCTTAATAAGTTGAGTTAAGTAAAGTCCAACTCAACTCGATAAATTCACAAGCAACTCGTTAATTTTTTTAGTAGTTATATTAAAAATTATTTTATTCAAAATATTATTAATTTACTAATAGATAATAAAAAGATGATAAATTATTAATCTATTAATTTTCTAATAAACAACCAAAAAACACTAAACTATTAATTAATATTTCACTACATTAAAAAATCAAACCCTATTTATTATTTTAATCTATTTGTAAATTGTTACATAAGAATTTAGACTTTGAAAATGTTTCATACACTCTATTTAATTTTTTTTGTTAAATTTATTAATTTATGTTTATATTAAGCTCTATATAGTATATTAGTAGATTTTACCGATAGTTAAGAAAATAAGGTAAAAATTTTAGTGAGTTTAACGAGCAATGAGGCAAGCAACAAGCAACGAGTTTAATGAGCAATGAGTCGAGCAACAAGTTTTTTTAACGAGCACGAGAACGAGTAACGAGTCGAGTCGAGCAACAAATATTTTTAATGAGCACGAGTCGAGCACAAACTAAATCGCAATTGGCTCGCTTGATTAACACCCCTAGTCATGAAGACTGAACGTTCAATCAAATTGAATTAAAAAATTTTGAGTTATTCATTTTGATGAATCATATTTTATAACTCAAATTTGATTTGAAATTTTTCCAAGTCAAATCAAATTTATAAAATCCGAATTAAATTGTCCGAATTTTATCCAAATTTAATAAAAATATTTAAAATATTTTGATACTATTTAATTTTCATTTAAATAGTTTTTTATAAACATATAATATATATATATACTGAAAAAGAAAAATAATGAGTAAGTAAATCCTAACTCATATATATATATATATTGCTTTTTATTTTTTCCATATGCAATATACGTATATCATACAAAATCGAGAAACTCAACTTAAACTTAAAAATCAATTCGTTAGTTACTAAAAACTTTAAGTTATTCAAGTTATATTTTATAACTCAACCTTAATTTAAAAAATATTTTGAATTGATTTTATGAAATTAAAACTCGAAATCAATTCGAATAAAAAATTTTCAAATCAAATCGAGTCGAAAAATCGATTTTTCGAGTCAAATTTTACTCACCACAACCATGTTGAGTATTTGGTCTACCGAAATAGATCTGAAGTTAAAGTCAGAGAAGAGAAAGAAAAGCTGAGTGCTAATGTCTACATAATCATTGAAGCAAAAAAAGTACTTGCACTTGAAAGCAGTAACTCAACAAAGCTGGGTTTCAAATTTCAGACTAATCCCCATGCTGAATAGCTCCTGGCACAATAGCTTAGCTCCATAAGGAACACTAACTCGTACGATGCCATCTCCGGACTGGCAAACCCGGCAGTAGGGTCCCCTGATCTTTCGGCCGGCAGCTACTGACCGTTCGATAACGTTTGCGGTGTTTTTGCAATTCTTGCATACATGCATCTGGGAGGAATCACTAAGCGTGAAGAGGCGCTCGTGCAAGTTGGCTGAGGCACCATGAGCAATCAGGCAGTCGCGTTCCATCTCACCAAATTTGATCCCACCAAAACGTTTCCGGTCAGCAACTGGCTGCCTTGTAAGTGGGTGCACAGGCCCGGTGTTGCGAAATTTTACTTTGTCTTCCGACATGTGGACGAGACGCTGGTAGAATGTTGGACCCATGAATATAAGTGAATGAACCATCTCGCCTGTACGACCATTGTAAACTCTCTCATTTCCCCATCTTGAAAATCCAGCCCTGTGACAGATATTCACCAAAGAAGACGAGACAGCCATTATTGTATACAATACTAATTATAAGAACAAAAAAAATCCAAAACAGACAACTGAAAAGAACAACTTAGATTTAACCAGTAAAAATAGCGAACCGAGCTTCAAAGATATATCCGCTATAGCATATGTATAAACAAAGTGCAAAAATCATCATGCAATGCTCAGTGGGAAAAAGGGTCCATCTAAACAATTCTGGAATGGCCCATCTAAGATTTCAGTAGTGAAAAATGTACATGATGAATGCAAGGTGAGCGTGCAGGTCAACATGTTTGTGACTATCCGTTACCTATGAAGCTGTTCTGTAATGACATCCATGGAGAGAGTGGAGAAAGGGGTGGCATATTTCATTGACCCACCACAGGCAATCCCCTTTCCCAAAGCAGCCTCCAAGAGTTGACCCGGAGTTTGTCTCGTGGGAAATGCATGTGGGTTAATTACCATATCGGGAACTATTCCTTGAATCGTGAATGGAAAGTTCTCTTGAGACTCCAGAAAACCAAGGACACCCTTTTGCCCATGCATGCTTGAGAACTTGTCTCCGAGACAGGGAGAACGAACCTGAAAAATATATCAGAAAGGCAACCGATGAACATCTAAAAGACTCGAAAGCAGAAGATACCATCTGGTGGAACAAAATATATTTAAACCATCTCTTCCATTCACACACATAAGTAATATTACCTGTCTCAGAGATACTACAGCAAAATTTTTACCATCATCATTTGAAGATAGCACAACTTTCTGAACCATGCCTCTTTCAGAGTGCTTCAGTTTTACACCATGATCAGCTCCAGATTCAGCAAACCTCCCGATGACAATGTCACCAGACTGCAGACTCGCACCAATATAAGGAAAACCATCATCATCAAGGCTGTCCACACGTCCGATCTTACTTTCTGTTTTCCCAAAATTTACAATATCTTCAGGTTTCCGCCTCCTCTCCTGAATTTCCGTGTTCTCTACTTCTGCTTTGTAGCTTCTTACATGTTCAGTACGGAACATTCCACGCTCTATAGATGCTCGGTTCATTACCAAAGAATCCTCTTGATTGTATCCAAGATGAACATTGACAGCCACAATGGCGTTCTGGCCGTTGTACAATTCTGGCTTTGGTTGCATTCTATTCTGACCTAGGGGATATCCTGATTTTCCGAGACAATCAGCTGTCATTGTTTGAAAGAGTGGTCTTTGGGGATAATACATTCGGTGCGACAATGTGTCAACCCTGATGTTTGGATTTGTTGTAGAAAACCCAATAGCCTGTTGAGAATGTTTTTGTGCCTGGTACAGAACTCTCCTTGAATGATCATGATTCGCAAATGGAATGATCCCACAGCTTAAACTCAAAAGAAAAGACATGTCAAGCTCGCAATGCGTATACTTAACAGGTTGCTTCCCCTCAACATCTGCAAAAAGGTACTTGATATCCCATGCTGTACAACAGTCCTCCTCTTCTTCGGCTGCAATTAGCTCAATTATCCCCTGGTCTAATAGGGACTGGAAGGTGTAATTCTCCTTCCCCTTAAATGATTTTAGTTTGAATAAATTCTCGACAACTAAAAGAGGCCGCATAATCCTCCCAGCATCCGAAAAGATGCGCACCTCTCCTTTATGCTTATCTCTTTTAATTTCCACCTACAATTTCAAAATCACTATCAGAAAAGATGAGACCACTAATAAACTACAGCAGATTAAAACTGATTTAAACTCTCCCGATACATACAGCCTTAATAAAAACAAATTTTAATTTCATGGTTCAATTGGTTACCCTAGAAGCACATAACAAACGAGGCATATAGAATTTTAAAAACTGAAGAAGTTCAAAATCTATGCAATCTATGAAATGAGATGGTGACCACCTGAAAAGGTAATTCTTTCCTCCGTCGGTTTCTTCTAAGCTCAGTGGCAAAGAAAAGGGAATCTTCACAAACACCAACCCATTCCCCATTCAGAAAAACCTTATCTTTCCCATCAACTGCGCTCGATGTATCGTTATCCACTTTCTCCATTCCAGAATCAAACAACTTGTCAACTATGGGTTCCACTACATTCGTACTCACAAGTGCTGTGGTTGCCAGGTTTTTCACAAGCCCACAATTTTCACCGTCTGGAGTCGAGAGGAAACAAACTTTTCCCCAATGAGATGGATGTCTGCATTAGAAAATTATATCAGAACCAAACAACATTATAGATGACAAACATCTCAACAAAACCGAATGCTCAAAAGATAAATCATGAACTTCATATTTCAAACAACTTGATGGCGATGCCTTTATTGGAAAGCAATATCAGAGAAGGAAAACAATAAATATATAGAGTGCAGAAAATTAGTGTTTTATTTGTTTGCTCTATTACATTAGATTTTTATTTCCTTTATAATTTTAGTCTTGCTAGTCAAGATAGCAAACTACACTGTTTTGATGTGATATAATGACTTCAAGATCAAATACAAGAAGTGATATACAGTACGCAGCGATTCGTCGCCACACAATTGAATAAATCAAAAGCAACTAAACTCATTTTATCGGTATCACAAAGATATGAATATAGAAGAACTTTCATTGATTCAAAATAGATCCCCATAAGGTACAACAAATATTGAATATTTGAAGCAACAGATTACTAGGAAAAAAAAAAGTCTTGACAAAACTTACGGGTATCTTGCATCTCCAACCTTTCCAGTGTATGAGACCTGCTGACGTGTTTTCCTCAAATCAATCATTGTCTGCAATGGATTTGCTCGTCCTAGATTCGCCACTACACCTGAAATTCTTTCCATCTTTTTGTAAGGATGCGACCATGCTCCAGTAGAAAACGCTCTAGAGAGCCCATTTGTGACTATGGAAGCATCCAGATAATGCTCAATTGGACGAACAGTACGATCTGCATAAAGATCTCTCTGCAGTGACTTTGACATTCGCCTCCTTGCATGCGCAATGTGAACTTTCAGTTCACGCTCAAGCAACTCACCAGCCATCCCTAACCTCTTGTTCCTGAAATCATCTCTGTTGTCGCACTTTCTAAGACCATTGTGAGCTTGCAAAAGACACTTAACCATGTAGCCCAAGAAGCGAGCCTTTTGCTTGAAACCCTGAAGAGAGGGAAACATATACCTTCTAAGGCACTCTTCCGCACCTTCTTCAGCGGGAAATCTGGTTTCCTTGCGTAATTTGTCCAAATGGTTCAGAGCATTTTTTCCTTCTCGAAAATTAGGACATCTCCAATCAGCATCTTGAATTGAGGCAAACAATATGTTTGATATACCGGAGTCATAGCTTCCATAACCAATCAGATCTACAACTTCTTTGTCTGATATTACACCAAGGGCAAAAAACAAAATCCACGCGGGAATCTCAAATGACAAGAAATAAACGGTCAGGATTTTCTCTCCCCCCTTGATATGTTCAATTTTAGAATTCTCCACTAGTCTAATAATGAATCTATTTCTCTTCACCTCCGACCTGTAAGCAACCGTCCAACCCGGTACGTTTGAAATCCAGAGTCTCTTCAAAGAAATTTGCTCTTGTGCAATGAATATCTATAATTAAACATAGCAAAAACATCATATACATCAAAAGACAATAACTAAAAGGCATTCGGCTGTATAAATAAAACGCTTAACACACTCAAGTCCTGTCCAGCAACTATGGAGTATGGACAACAAATAACAGGTCAACCGAAAAGACAGACATACCTTTTCTGAACCCTTTATCAGAAAATAGCCTCCATAATCAAAATCACAATCACCCTTTTCAACCTCATTCAACCAACACAGGTCAGATCTTACCATCACAGGGATCCTCCCAATTAGAATCTCCCTGTTATCTCGATAGACAACCTCCTCCTCAACCATTTCTTCTTGTCCTGTTTTAAATTTGTCACTCTTCACACTTTTCGCTGTATATACCTATTACATTACCAGGATACAAACATATCACATTTCAACTTAGTTTCGTTGAAAACTATCATTTAAGCAATGAAGATATCAATAACAGCCATCATGATCCATGTTAACAATTATCACATCAAACATCGATCAGAGAGCTATTCACCCACCTCAAGATCAACATGAACCTTCACCCTCGAAGAATAGGTCATATTTTGAAGGCGTGCATGCCTAGGTAGCATGTTGAGCTCCTTGTCGCCGGAGACAGCCCAAAACGTCGGCCTATCGACGGTTACTTTCCCGAACCTGACTCTAGCGTGACGCCAGTCACCTTCTCCCTTCTTCGACGGGTCATACCCGGAATGAATAACGAATTCTCCAAACGAATTGAAAGTGTCCTGGAGACCATGCTTGATGAAATCGTTGTAGGAGTTAATCTGATGGCTGATGAGACCGTACTGATTGAAGAACGACAAGGCTGTTTTCTTACAGAAATTCCTCAAAAACTCTTCTCCTAGCTCTTGCACACTGAACTTGTCATCAAACATATCGTCATCTATGTCCATATAAGTTCCGTTCGCAAACTTTCCACTAGCAGTACCACTCAATTCTCCGTTTCCCTCACCATCCGGAGAGGCCCCCATTGCACTAAAATCTATAAAAATAAAACAAAATAAAGTTAAAATCCACTAAAATAAGCTTCACGGAAACTACAAAAAGAAAAGTTCATCGATCATAAAAAAAATCCCAAACAAAACATAAAATGAACTTTTTTGAAGGATTTAACAAAAACAAAGATCACAACCGCGAAGACAAACGTGAAAAAGAGTAAGAACAACACTTACATTGGGATTTTGTTGTGTAGGATGAGAAGCTAAGAAGAGAACCCGAAACCCTAAATCATTTCGGTGCTTAGATGTGAAAAATCAGTGATTCCAAAGGGTCTTGACAGGCTTTGTAGAGCAACCGGTATGAAAAAATTTATGCTTTTTCTCAATATTTCTGACTCAACTGAACTTTGTACTCTTTGATTGTTTCAAAGAGGGAAGAAAAAAATTTGTGATTTTTATGCTTAAATAGTAGGGTAAATTACACGTATGATCACTAAACTATGTTGAAATAATTTTGGCATAATAACAAAATCACCTCTAGTATTTGTATAAATAATCTTTTTGATCTTTAATTTTTTTTTTCCTTTTGGAGTATTTTAATTTTTAATTTATTTTTTGATTAAAATATTCTTCTTAGAAGGAAACAATTAATTAACTAACAATCAACATTTGTTACTGATGTATCATTTTTACATGTGCTTAATTGTTAATGTGACATTTATTTTATGTTTTTTTTGCTTTAATCTCGTGTAATAAGTCTGTATATGTGTATTAACTATCCAGATAAGATATTCAATGTATTTTAGAGATAAGATTCAATAAGAGAAAGATTTGTTCAATCAATACTTTTTTTCTTTTTTTCTTGGTCTTAGATTTTGTTTGTTTAAACCTTTTTTTTATTGTTTCTTATATGCTTTCTATCGCTTCTTAATCCTTGTATTAGTAGTATATAAAAGTTACATATCTTCTTCCTCCTTACAATTAAATTCAGTTGACATCATTATTTTCTTAGACTCTTACTGCTTTTAAGGTTATTTTAGGGTGATATACATTGACAACTTGTCATTTCTCTTGAGAAGACTAATTTAAAGTTACAAGATCATTTAACTTGTTTCATAAAACATATACTTCGTTAGAGTAATTTTATGAGGTTTCTTGTTTTTTTCTTGTTTTTTCTTCTTTTTTGACGCTTTAAATTTTCTTCGAGTGTTGTCATTTTCAAGGTATGTAATTCTAAAAGAACAAACTCCGAAAAAACTCGTCCTTGAAGCCATAGCCATTGAGACGCATAAAGTTCGCAAAGATCTCATGAAACTTTGTGATAAATTATCCATATTCGAGAAGAGAATAATATTAGAACCAAACCATAATAATTATAAAAACAAACTAGGATCTAACCATGTCAAACCATCAAAAATTGTAATACCCACAATTCATATACGTGAACCAATACGAGTTACAGATGTCACATCAAAAATTCAAAACATTTCTTTAATTGAACTGAGTGAAAATTTGTTTCATTCAAACAACTCAAGTTTCATAACTTGAACAATTATTATAAAATAACTATTCAGAGAAAAATCATAATATGGTATTGTTGATTACCAATTCAAACTCAGTTTCAAGCAATAATAGACAGTTCTATTCTATTTTCAAAAAAAAATAAGATTGTCTAATACATTTGATTTAAAACTCAAATTAATTTTTGCTAAGCATATTTTAATATCATAATATTTATTCATACTATTAATTACATTTTTCTACCTATATTAAGAAATTGCAGACATTTCATTCTCGTGTACATGCCAGCTAAGACTTTTAGTGTAACACCCATCTCCCGTATACCCATACATATACGAAGCACAGATGTCACATTATTAGTATTAATGTTCCTAATACAAAACACGTAAAATTTTGTTTCATTTTTATTTTTATAAAAATATTTACTTACTTAAAACAAAACATATCTTAACTTAAATAAACAACAAAAGAGATGTTTAAACACTTCATCATTTTACAACCTTTTAATCAAAATACTTATCAAAGTGTTTTTACTACACCCTATTACATCCCAACTAAAATATAACAAAATGTAGACAGGTGCTTCATACGGTTATTGATGAGGCGACTCTGACTGGATGTCTAAAAGATCTCCTTACTCATCTATACTTAACCTATACATGAAATAAACACACATTAAGTATTACAAAGTGAGGCTTGATTAATCTCAAGTAAAATTCTAAACACAAGTTATTATATTATACTTCTCATTCCAATGAATCTTTAAATACGGTAGATAAGTCTGTATATTGTATTACTGATGCTTTTAACCTCATTTATCAAACATTACTAAGCTCTATTAATTCAATTGGAATTTCATACAATCAATATGATTTTCTTACCATTTTAGAACACAAAGTGCTCTATTTAGAAATTCATACACTTAGTATGATTTCCTTACCATTTTAGCACACAAAGTGCCCTATCTGGAAATTCATACACTTAGTTCCTTACCATTTTAGCACACAAAGTGCCCTATTTGAAAATTCATATACTTAGTATGATTTCCTTACCATTTTAGCACACAAAGTGCCCTATCTGGAAAATCATACACTTAGTATGATTTCCTTACCATTTTAGCACACAAAGTGCCCTATTTGGAAATTCATACACTTAGTATGATTTCCTTACCATTTTAGCAGACAAAGTGCCCTTTGGTAATTTACTATACATTCATCTATAAACCAAATTATCATGACTATTATAGTAAATACGTACATAATTAAATGCACTTACCTGATTCACCTTGCTGAAATATTCAACTAGGAAGATGATTACTCCAGAACTTGACACTTGCCTTTAGCCTTACTCGACTCGGGAGCTTGATTTTGATCTATCCAACATTCATTAAATACATGTGCAATGTCAATTGTTAGTATATTTCCTAACACTTATAACTTATTATTAATCAAAATATTTATTTTCAATTTCCTACATCATTATCAGAACCTAAACATATAATTTGATTATAATAACTTAAGCTACTTAAAGAACAAAATTCACATTTGTCCCCCAAGAGGTATCGGTAACCCTAAGTACAGTATCGACACTTCCCTTTAGAAGGGCATCAATACACTACTGGGGTATCGGTACCCAAATTAACTTCGATGTTTACAGGTATCGATACACTACTGGGGTATCGGTACCCAAATTAAATTCGATGTTTACAGGTATCGATACATGCCTGATGGTATTGATACCCCTTGAAGATGTTCATCAAAATTAGTCTTAGGGTATCGGTACCCATTCATAGGGTATCGATACCCCTTGCCCAGAACAACCTGTTTTCACCCGAAAATTATTAACACTTCACCAAATTTTTATATATAAAGCCCTTGTTGTGCTACCAAACTCAACTATAAACAATTTAACTAACTTTCCTTCATTTAATTTCTTAGAACATCCAAAACCATTCAAGAACATTCTATTCTAAGAATCAAACCACTTTTTCTAATATGTTTTTAATCAAGACCAAGGCTTATTTTCTCTTATATACCTATTTACAAAGTCAAATTTACAAATAAACATCCATAAACATTCCTATTTCAACATATATCTCAAAAACCCATTTTGTTCAATCTCTAATATTTCTTTAATAACTTAGTTTTGATCCCCTTTTATCATTCCATAAGCTTCTAGTATACTCAATGCATCAAAACCCCAATAAAAACCAAGGAGTAAACTAATAAATTGGAAACTCACCTTTGAGCTATGGAGGAAAATATGCACGGGAAGGAAGAAGAAGAATGGAGTTAACTAATTTTCTCCCCTTTTCCCTTACTTTATACTTTAATACCTAATTTTAAATGAATTTAAAATTCATCAAGTTCCCATTGGACTAAAATGTCCCTTTATTCCTCCATTACTACTCTTTAGCTCTAAACTATTATTCCCAAATCATTCTCAATATTATATAAATTAATCAAATAAATTCTCAAATCTTAAATCCTTTAAATAAAATCCCTAATTCAACATTTAGGGCATTACAATTCTTCCTCTTAATAAAATTCATCCCCTAATTTTAAAGAAATACCTGAAGCAAAAATATGTGGGAATTGCTTTTTTATATCCTCATCTCTCTCCCATGTAGCTTCTTCCACCTTGTGGTTTAGGCAAAGTACTTTGACTAACGAAATCCTTTTATTACGCAATTCCTTAGTTTCTTTTGCCAAAAATCGCACCGGTTATTCTTTATACGTTAAATCTGGTCAGATTTCTATTTCTTCAGGGGTAATAACATGTGAAGGATCTGATATGTACCTCCTAAGCATCGATACATGGAAAACATTGTGGATCTTATCCATATCCGGAGCCAGAGCTAATTGATAAGCCACAGGTCCAATTCTTTTCAATATCTCATACGGTCCAATAAATCTCGGACTTAGCTTTCCTTTTAGCCCAAATCGTAATACCTTCTTCCAAGGCGATACTTTTAAAAATACTTTATCTCCCTCTTGATATTCTATTTCTTTTCTCTTTAAATCCTCATAAGACTTCTGTCGATCTAAGGCTATCTTTAAATTACTCTGATTAATCTTTACTTTATCCTCTATATCTTTCATCAAATCCGGACCTACTAATTCTCGGTCTTTAAATTCAAACCAATTTAACGGTGTTCTGCATTTTCTCCCATATAGAGCTTCATATGGGGTCATCTTAATACTGGATTGATAACTATTATTATACGTAAATTCTACTAAAGGCAGACATCTTTCTTAATATCCCTCAAATTCAATCACACAAGCCCTAAGCATATCCTCCAATATTTGAATTGATCTCTCTGATTGCCCATCTATTTGGGGATGAAAAGCTGTACTAAAATTTAGTCGAGTAACCAATGCTTCATGTAAAGAGTTCTAAAATCTTGAAGTAAACTTAGGGTCTCGATCGAACACTATCGAAATCGAAACTCCGTGCAATCTAACTATCTCTTTTATATACATCCCATCATACTTATTCATTGGGTAGTCAACTCGAATTGGAATGAAATGAGCCGTTTTGGTCAATCTGTCTACTATTACCCAGATCAAATTCTTTTTACCCGATGTCAATGGTAGTCCTGAAACAAAATCCATCGTGACCTGCTCCCACTTCCACTCAGGAATAGATATAGCCTGAAGTAACCCAGATGACACCTGATGTTCAGCTTTCACTTACTGACATGTCAAACATTTGAAAACAAACTCTGTAATAACTCTTTTCATGCCAGGCTACCAGTAACGACTTTTCAAATCCTAATACATCTTATTCCCGCTTGGGTGCATAGTCAAAGGGCTATAATGAGCTTCGTAGAGATTATCTCTCCTCAGATCCTCATAATCGGGAATATAAAACTTTCCCTAGTAATATAGAC